AAACTCAACTTTGTCTTATCAACTGGTAGGTTGGCAATATTTGGGTCACCAGCATATTGTTAAGTAATAAAATGAATATGCTGCAATGACAAAAGAATCATGGAAAGTTATTTAGGTGCTAATACTACCAATCAACAATTCAGGAGTATCAGCCAAAACGATATCTAGAAGTCTAGATCTAAATATTAGCATTGTATAATGGCCTAGATTTATATAAAAATGTATAGAAAATACTTATTACACTTACAGGTGACACCAAGACAATCCATAGTGAGGTGTTCCAAAATTAAGAATTTACAGAAACACAAGTTCAAAAATTAAAAATGTATATTAAAAATATTAGAGTATTTATGAAAGAAACTACACACATCTCAAATGGGTAAGGGCAGAAATTAACTGACTTTCGGATTCTTTCACCTTCAACCTCACAAACCAAAATCTGCAGTAACCCCGCATACAAACAGAGCAGAGACACTGTTCTTCCCAATGTGTGCTTCCCTTTACTGGCCACAGCTTCCATGGGCACCTCCTTTTCTCCTACACGGGTCCAGTAAACCAGGTGTTAGCTTCCCTTGCAATTGCTCAGACCTCTCAATCCATCCAGAGCTTCACTGACCCAATTTGGGCTTCAGTCCTCTTCCCTGTCCACCCTAACTCGTGGTCAGCCACTTCAATCCCAGCCTCACTGACTCCATCATTCCTTTAGCATCCTTGACCTGGAATTCCTGGACCAAAATCATTCCCAGTGCCTTTCATATTTTCAGCAACTAAATGAGGGATATTCCTAACACACAGGGTTGTTATGAGGAACAAATACAGTAAGATGTGCAAGTATACTCTATGAACTCCAAATCACGACAAGCATCAACTATTACGACTACTACTGCTACTGAGGTAAGGACTAGTTGCCTCTTGGTCACTTCATATTACACTCCCTAAATGACACTCCCTGGTAGATGAGTTCTAGTTCCAGCTTGGCCACTTGCTGTAGGTCATCTTGGGCAATAACAACCACATTCTAAAGCAAGTTTATAATTTTTAAATATATAGGGTTGGGCTACACTGTTTCTAAGATCCCTTGCAGCTCTATGGTTCTGAGATCCCACTTTATTGAGAAAATTGAAAGTATCAAATACTTTGATCTTCCCTCTTTTGCTTTTCAAAATGTTTCTGCATCTACCCTCCATGCCTTCATTCCTTTCCTTGGATACCCCAATCATCTGTGTTCTCCACACCATGTCTGCTTTCTTTTTTCTAGGGCCTGCCCATCCTTGTCAGCATCTTCACTCCCTCTTGACTTCTTTCATACAAATGCCTATCTTCCCTCCCATGAAAAAGGAAACTTTCACTTGATCCTCCAGTCCTTTTTAGCCACTATTCTGCATTCCCCTTTGCTGGAACTTCCTGACAATAACTACCAGTATTTTATCTCTCACATTCCTCAACTTAGAACCTGGCTTCTACTAAGATCTTTGCTGAACTCAGTGTTCTACCTCAACCTCATTTAAATACTATTGATGACATCCTCTACGCAACCCTCCTCCCCTGCTCCCAGGACCTCATAATCTTGGTTCCTTCCCTACATTTTCAACCCTGCTCTACACATGGGCACCTCCCAGGGCTCTGTCTTCAACTCTATCCCCTCTTTATCCCACTCAAAAGTTGACATTTCTGGAGCGTTGACCCCATAAGCAAAGGTTGTGGGTTTGATCCCCAGTCAGGGCACATACAGGAATCAAACAATGAATGCACAGATAAGGGGGACAACAGATCGATATTTCTCTCTCTCTCTCTAAATTCCCTTCTCTAAAAAAAAATCAATTAAAAAAAAAAGTTGACATCTCCACACCTGACCTTTTGACCTTTCATTTCAGTTCCCACCACCACCTTGAATCACCTCTCTATTTTAGAGAATGACACACCCTGTCCAATCCAACTCATCCTTGCCTACAAAACTGCCCAATAATTTTTGATTCTTTCCTAAAAGACTCTTAAGGCATGGATTACAATGTGTCTCCTGGCAGGCTCTTCTTTAATTACTCTTACTTTGATTGCCCTAGTCTAGGTCCTATCTGCATGATCTAAAATATGCATCCTCTCTCCCAACCTCTATTCCCCTACCCCTACTAGACTCACTCCAAGCCCTCATCATTTCATACCTATAGCACTTGCAATACCCAACTATCTGGTTTCTTTGTGGCAGGCCTCTCCCCTGCCAACACTTTCTCCAGACGACTGCTGAGTGATAAGCTAATGCCTTTGTAAACACTTTTCAGTGGCTTTCTACAGTCCATGGACTAAAGCCTAACCTCCACAGGTCTCAAGCTCCAAACCCCACTTCCCAAGAATGCACAGCATATGCTCCAGGATTACCAAACTAATTTCAGGGCCCCGTGCCAAGAATACTGACTCAAGAAACAGCTCCACATGCCCTTTGCTCCACATGCCCAATGTCCTTCCCCAACACTATCTACCTGGTGAGTCCCCAAGCACCTTTCAATTCCAAGTGCAACTCTCACCTCCTCTTCAAAAGCTTTTCCTGCTGTCTCCATGTAGTCTATGAACCTTGATCATTCTTCTAGTAAATCCAACTCATATAAGTCTCCTGGGGAGGGGGGTGGCAGGAGCGGAGGTGGGGGATGGGGGGAGTCCTTGAAGGGGTGGTCTTGTCATCTTTCAAATATTTATCCAGCATTTAACACAGAAAACATTCCCATGCAGGTAAGAAGCACTTTCCATCTGTTAATTCCCCTAAGCACAGAGCCTCTCTCAGCTTAAGTCTCTTGGTCCTGAACAATGAGAATGTCATGTTAGTAACACCATTATAAAAAGACTACAAAATGGCATGGGAGTGTACTACAATCGCAGAATACTAGTATAAGACACCTCCTCCACCGCTTTCATGAATTCCCCAAGTGTTTTGCCTTTACCGCAACTTGAACAGAGAAGGCACTTAAAGAGCTTAAATGGTCCAAATATTAACCAGCCTCCGATGTGCAAACTGATTTTAAAATAGCCCTTGACCTGGAAATACAGATGCATTCAAATATACACCCTGATAAGAAAGCGCAGACAGAGGATAGAGTTCAATGTCTCAACGCCTGCCAAGACAAGAGTTCCTGGTGGTGAACGCTACAGGTATAGCAATATTTTAGACACAATGTGCCAATGCTCATCCTTGCCTAAGAAATCCTAAGAGGTTACACATGGCAATGTCCACTCTCAGAAAACAAAATACAGCTGGGCCCGTGTTGATGAAAACCTACAGTGCGGCTTTTATAAATAAACAAACAAACAAACAAACAAATAAATAAATACGCAGCGAGGTAACCTAGTCACAGAGACAACAGTTCTAATGAGTCAAACCAACCCTAGAAATAGTTTCCATTTCAAATGTATTAGGGTGTTAAGAAACTAAATTAATTCAAAAGTTATTGTATGCATGGCTTCCTGAACATGTTTTTTCTTATTAAAAGCGTGTTCGCTTCTCCTAGTTAAGGAAGTCCACACAGGGGGGAGCTGGTATTTCCTTGGTTCTAGCCAGAGCTGAAGCACAACAAATCCCAACCTAATTAATTCTATTTTTGGTCTAGTTTCCAAGGCAGTTTTCACAAAGACTATTCTCACAGCCCACTGTTTCTAGCCTTGTAACATCAACCTTCAGAAGCTGGCAACTGTTATAGTTTGTGTAATTCCTTGACAAGTATGTTCTATGACAGACTCTCATTTGGTTCTATCGACTATCAAAGGTAGGAAAAAAATAAAGGGGATGTCATCTCATTGATTCTAAAGCGTCATTCCTGAAATCACTGTTGAATTAATTATTTCAGGATATCATGCAGTATGTTCTTACCAGGGCTCTGTAACTTGGGTTACGTCAAGTTCATCAACATCGGGTTCCAGGTGGAACCCTCCCCAAATCAGAATTGCCAGCGAGTCTCAGTAACAGTCCAACCCAGAGGAAAGGGAATCAGGAAACAGGCCCTAGTTCCAAAGGCCACTGCCTTGACCTTGTAACTCACTTCTGTAATTCAAACTGCAACACCTGCTTCTAGAAAAGAACGATTCTAGGAAGAGTTTAAGTGCTTTGAGCTTCTGAAATAAGATGAGATTTTATTCACAGAAGATCTTGTAAAACAATTTATTCTCTGGCCCGATTACCTAAACCACCAGTCTAAAAGGTCATAACATTGCATTCGTTTGTTTGTCTCCCTCGCCCCCCCCCCAAATATTCCTACCTGCACCACTGTATTTATGAATAAACTAAACTTCGACTCCTTTCCTACCGTTAAATAGAATAGTGGGGTATTACATCTGCTTATTCTTAAATGTGAAGCAAGGGTAATCCATAGAAATGTGAGCTAAACATCCTCAAGACGTAGCCCGTCAGGTCAAATGAAATCTACCAGCAGGAGAACTACACTGCCTGCTGTGGGCTCCAAGGAAACAGGCGGATTCAGTTGTGTCGCGTGTATGTTACTCTGAAACCTCCAAAACCTATTACCCTGAAAAAGGACAGAGGAAACGAAAGTGCTGATGGGGGAGCAGGAGCAGCTAAGCCTCCAGCGTCAGGATCCAATGACATGCTAGAGCCGAAGGTGTTGGTCTTAAGTTTAGACCTCGCTAACTTCGTTCCTCTACCGAGAGGAGGTGCGAGGTGGCGGCTACCAGGAAACTAGGGTGCCTGCAGGTTCCTCCCAGATCCGAGCACGGGCCCCGGGACCCCAGGGAGGGCGGCGACTGGACCGGGAAGAAACTCAATTGGAGTCAAGTTGAATCACCCGGCAGCGGCCGCGGTCACCCCCTGGAACGCGCCACCACCGCGGTCCGGGGTTCGGGGCCCCACACCAGCAAGGAGACAACAATCCAGGCCGAGGGGAAGGCGCGGCGGGCAGCCCACAGCTCACCTGCCGTCCGCGGGCCCCACCCCGGCTCCCGGCGACCCGCCCAAACCAGGACCCGGGCGGGCGTGGGTGTGCGCCTCCCGCGGCTCCACTTACTTTGTCACTGGTGCTCTCGGCTTCGTGGTCGCCGCCGGCCGCCACTCCCTCGGGGGGTGGCGGCGCCACTGCTCCCCCGGGGCCGGGGCACACTCCCCGGTGCCTCAGCTCCAACATCTCCCGCTCTCGCGTTCGGCCGCGGCGGCCTCCTGCGCCCCCAAACCCGAACTGCGCGCAGGGTCTCGCCGGCGGGCCTCCCTTCACCCCACAGCCCCGCACTCCACGTCCAGCGGAGCCGCGATCACGAACACGCCCCCACCATGAAGGCGCGGCCACCGCGCCAGGTCACCCCCAAAACGGCATCAACGAGCGAGCGCTCGAGGCCGCCTGCAGCGATCGCGGCGCCGGGGACTGGCTCGGGGCGTGCGGGGCCGGCTCGGGCGCCCGGCCCGAGCAGAGGAGGCGGAGACGCGGCGCGGCCCCGGGTTGCCAGGTGCGCGTCTCCACGCAGAGGCCCAGGTGGGAAGAGCAGAAGGGGCGGGGAGGCAAAAGGGAGCGTGACCCGATTTAGAGCCTCGCAGGGCGCCCGCAGCCTGGGCCCGGCCACGCCCCGCCCCGCCCCCGGACTCGGCCGGTCCCAGCCCCCAGACACCTTTCCCCGGGCTCCTGCCTCCCGCACCAGGTCACGCGCCGCAGGCCCCGCCCCTCGGTGCTGCACTGCGGTTCCCACCGCCCCGCCTCCCCGCCGAGGAGTGACGTCATGAGCCTCCCAGGCTCCGCCCGTCTCTGCGCGCACACAGGTGGGGGCAGCGAGAAAAGGTGCGAGCTGGGCTTGCAGGAGAGGAGGAGGCGAGACGGAGGAGGGGGGAGCCCTGTGCTGGGAAGGGAGGGGTGAGAACCTGCAGACTTGTCACCGAGCTCCTGGCGGCTGTTGACAGCACTCAGAAGTAGCCCTTCAGATGACTCCCCCGCCGCATAGGCTTGACACACTGCAGCGTGTCAGAGGTCCAGAGGCGTCCACAAACAGGAACTTGTCTGGCAGGATGGACTCGTTGACCTTGAGGCATTCTAGGCCAGTGTCATCACCTTGAAAATAAGAGATGTGTTTGCCTCCCTGGGCGTCTCGGGAGGGTTGGCCAGTTTCAAGCATAAACCCAAGCTCTGTCTCTGATAAGCTTGAGTACTAACCCTCAGGAAATTCACTGCCTGGGGTCCCAAAAGAGAATCCAGCCACTGTGATACCGTGGGGTGCAGTGGCCAACCAGCTAATCTCTGAACAGTCATGGACCTTGGGCTGCTACAGCTGGAACAGGGAAGGCCCAAGATCCGCCTTAATTCTATTCCAAATCCTGTTAGAAGGCGATTAGTTTTCTTGACATGTATCCACCACCTGGTCATTAGAGAGGAGCTGAGGAATGATAAGAAGAAGAAAGAAGAGGAGGAGAGAACTAAATCAATAATATAAATTTCTCCAACTCATGACTGACACGTTGAAAATATGTACTTTTTTTGTGAAAATTTATAACAAGCAAAAACAAAAAGTCAAAGTAGGATACATTAAAAAGTAAAGCACATGGACGTCATTTCCCCAAACAAATCTTAGAGCTCTAGGTTCAAATTGAGTTGCCACATTTTCAAAAGGATATAGAGAAAGGGGTCAGTCTAATGGGAAGAGTCACAAAAATGCTAATGAAAATAGGTCCTTTAAGGGATGGACTTGGCGTGGTTTTTCTTAAGGAACAGAAGACTGTGGAATTAGTTGGTTAATCAGTTGTTCTCCATTTTTTCTGAGGGACCAGAAATTAATGACTGCCTCATTGTCAAGAGCATAATTTTGAAGAGGCTACTGAAGGTAGTAGTGGAATTTCCATCTCTGGTTCCCTCAGCAAAAAGGGCGGGTATTAGAAGTGTTCCACTGCTCCATTCTAACCTTCATGGAAGTCAAGTCTGAATCCTAGTCCCACCAATGCCGCTAATTGGCTGTATGGCCTTAGGTAAGTCATTAAGCCTCAATGTCCCCAGCTATAAAATGGAAAGTAAGGAGGATGGCCTCTCTGGACCCTTTGCAGATCACACATGACTGCAGCAAAAGCCTCACTTTATCAAAAGCCAGCCCTTCCTTTCCCCCATGCCTCAAGAAAAGGGGACCTAGCAGAGCAAGGTGCCAGAATGGTTTCCTTGTCTCCTTCCCCAAGCCAACCCAATAGCTCCTTTGACTTGATTTTTGTTTACTATAATGGAAAAAAAGATAGTGAGAGAGGTAGCAGAAGGGAACGAGAGAGGACATAAGTGCATGACAGAAGAAACAGTCTGACTATTCCCTGAGTCAGGAAAAGTGAGACACTGCCAAATTAGAGTGGTTTACTACTTTACCTCACCTTTCCTTAGGCTCCGCCTACTTCCTGTGTTTCAGCTGAGATAGTAATTTCTTTCTGTCTTCTCCATTATAGTTATTGTCACTCATCAAATGGTTATACTGAGTCTAGACAGCAGGTACCACAGTTTATTCATCTTCACAGGCCAAGCCCTTGCCATGGTGCCAGCCCCAACCTCATATAGTCAACTCATGAAGAAGTGAATGGGGGGGGGGGGAGGATAAATGTCAGAGGTATAGCATGACCAGGGAAAGATATATTTGTCGTTTTAAAATTAAAAGGTCTGTATTAGACCTAGGTACTCACTATCTTCATTTTTTACTTTATGTGAAAGATTGATTTTAATATGTATTAAAAGGAAATTCTAGTAATGACTTGCACATTTTCCTTAAGATATATTATGATATACTGGTAGTCAATGACACCAGCCTTACTGGGTTCTGTGTTCTCAGACTTTCTCAATGTCTTTCTTTTTCATTTTCATCCTTCTTTTTCTTTAATCAGGGAACTTACATTCTTGAAGTTTATTACATTTATCTTCAGTGATACAAAATCTGGCATGTAATGGTTTCTAAAACCTCACCTGTTAGTTTTACAAGCATGCAATCTGCTAACTCCAGGCTCATGCAGGGAGACGCTTGGCCAATACTTATTGGTTGATTTGTAGATTTTCTATTTTAGGGATAGCGCAATAATTTATAACTCCTTGCAAGAGATTTGCTAGAGGAGAAAGAGGGAGAGTGCTAACATTATTATTTAATGTTATTTTTCTTTCAGTTTGATTTTTTTAACCTTTTCTTTTGCCCAAAGATGGAGAGATCTTGCTTGAAGTAGTTATTGTAATGAAATGGGGAGACCCATTATCATTCTCTCCTCTGCGTACCCTCACAATGTTCCCAAACTGATAAACATCCCCGTCTTGTGTGGGAATTTGAGCTGCTTTCCGCATCCGAGTCTCAAAGGCGCCTGGCAGGAATGTCCCCAAGCTTGCCAGGGTAAAAAGACATCTTCCTCCGCCAAGCGTTTCCGGTTGCTTGGACACCCACGTTATAGATTTTTGTCGCTTGACCTACCTTTAGTTGTTATTCTCTGTTAGTTCGGTTTGTAGGTCGGAGGTAGGAATTTCTGACTTCGGCCTACCAGAAACACAATTTTGTGGGACATTTTTGAAGAACAATTTATGTTTACATCATCTTTAATGAATCTGCGCAGGAAAACAACGGTGTACCATCAAGTATTATGGTAACCAGATTTCAGAGGGGTGAGTGCGGTGGTGTAGTTAGAAGCACAGGTTTTATATATGGGCAGCCCTGGGTTCCAGTCCCAGCTCTGCCATCTTCCAGCTGTGACCCAATTTACTCACAGAACATTTCATCACACACAGCTGAATCTACATCCTAACTCATGCCTGTTCAAAGTTTATGTGATAACGCTTTACATAACACTTTGCAAAGCACTTTCTCGTCCTTTGCTTTATTTATTCTACTCAGCAACCTATGAGGTAGGCAGGAAAAATATCATTATTTCCATATTGCAAAGAAAAAAATCTAAGCTTCAGTATGTAAACTGGCCAGGTTTGCAGAGGAAATTTTTCTACTTCAGATTCTGGCAGGTCTACTGTGCACTGCATATAGTTAGTAGCAAAACAAGTAACTTCCTACAGAGCACAACTTGTGATAACAACTAAGCGCAGGAATTCTGGAGCCAACCTGAGTTCAAGTCCCAGCTCTGCCACCTACTGGCCAATGCCATTAGTCAAGTAAATTAATTGTTCTTGTGCCGTAGTGTCCTGTGTATAAAATGAGGAATTCTTTTTTTAAAAAATATATTGTATTGATTTTTTACAAAGAGGAGGGGAGAGGGACAGAGAGTCAGAAACATCGACCAGCTGCCTCCCGCACACCCCCCACTGGGGATGTGCCCACAACCACAGTACATACCCTTGACCGGATCGAACCCGGGACCCTCCAGTCCGCAGGCGGACGCTCTATCCACTGAGCCAAACCGGTTATGGCTAAAATGAGGAATTCTTATGCAGAGTAAGGTTACTATACAAAAATGCTTAGAACAGTGCCTGGTCATAGTGACACACCATGCTAAAGCTGCATTTCTTAAGAGAACAATATTCAGCTCCTACACTCACTGAAGCTGCAACACCCCACAAGACTTTGAAGAAAAAAGGATATGCTAACATTGCTCTGAAATTATGAAATGGGGTAGGGCAACTTTGCAAATAAGTACAAAGAAATCAGCAGCCAATCAAATTAATTAATTGCTACTAGCAGTAGTAAGACGAATGAAATGGACATACCCTATTATTAACTGGAGTCAATTTCTACCGCGTATCTAATACAGTATATGGTATGATAACTACAGAATTCCTTTCATTTCTAGCTTCTCCACTGAATCATAGTAACTCTTAGCATATTATATTTTGGTGATTTAATTCCTTTGTAAAATAAGCAATTTATTCCTTCAATAACTTTATAAATTATGTTCTAAAATAATGAGTATATGTGTGCTTTTGGCACTGAATGGTTCAACTGTTTTGTTAATGTTGGATATGGCTGGGTTATATTTTTTTGGAGGTGGTCATTTTAGAGAAGTGGAAGGGATTGGTAACTGTCCTTAGAAGGGCTGAACTGCTACTTACCTTAAATTATATCAGTTATCTCTGTTTAACAAATTGCTGAAATCCAGAGGTATCAGTCAAGGTCCTTAGATGCAAGTCTGGCTGACTTAGGCAGACAAGGTATTTATTCAAGGGTTGGTAAGAAGCTCACAGAGCTCTTGGGAAAGCGTAGAACCCAGCAGAGAAAATTGATAGAAACAACGGCTGCCAAGCAGCAGCCAGGACTACAGTCAAAGTTAACCCCAAACCAGCCAACTGAGGCCACCAATGCTGGACCCACAGGACAGGCCACCACAGCTTGCACCATCACTGTGGGGACACCAGCCACTGTGTGCCACAGTTGCCATTGCAGACCCTTTTCCATTGCGGCTTTTCTTCGCAAACTCATTTGCATATTCTTTAACAATGGGGATGGTTTCCTTATAAAATGCAATACAGCCATAAACATCTCATTGTGAAAAAAGCCTTACTGGTCAGAGAAATAAGAGCTATAGTTCATGTCTATGTTGGAAGGCATAGTAAATATATTTCTTCTAATATACCATTTGCATTTACATT